GTATTTCTACAAATGGCGTATTAAGTATACAAATGTTGGGGAAAAACTGATCTGACTAGCTACACTATCCCCCACCAAATCTCTTTATCCAGAATCAAGCCCTCACTGCTTTCTGAGTGCAAGTTTGAGGGCAAATAGATATGAAGTGAATTATGAATAGCATAGTTACAAATTAAATAAGGATAAATTTTTGTAAGAAGATGGTCAGTTCAAATCTTTCTGATTAGTGATTTAAATATTTGTGGTTTTAAACAAATCTACTAACAATATAAATTGTTATAACTGAAGCCTTTAATTTGGGGTGAAAGGGCAAAGGAAACAGCACTGAAAACAACAGGAGGCTGGTGCACTGGTTGTTTCAAAAGAGTAGAAGAGTCAAGAAAATTGAGTCACTGTCCTACACCTGCCACTAATTTACTTCCTGTCTCTCGGCCTTAGCTTAAAAATCAGTATTTTCCCAATAGAGAAACAGTGAACAAGCACTCTCCAAAAAAAAAAAAAAAGGAAAAATGCAAGTTATTAACAACCATAAGAAAAAAGGCTCCAAATCACTAAAGAGAAATGTAAATTAAAACAGATGAGATTTTACCTCACACCTGTCAGACTGGCAAAGGTAACAAAAAAGTACAATGACAATTGTTGGAAGAGCTGTGGGAGGACAGGCAGATGTATCTGTGAAGGGGTCTAACTATTCTGGAAAGCAATTTAGAATTATACTCCAAGTCATTGAATTGTACATTTCCTTTGACCTAGCAATACAATTACTAGGTTTATACCCCAGAGAGATCAAAGAGAGAGGGAAAGGATTCATACGTGCAGAAATATTTAAAGCAGTACTTTTTGTTACCATAAAGAACTAGGGACAACATAGGTGCCCACCCATTGAGGAATGGTTGAACAAATAATGGTAAATGAAAGTAATGGAAATTACTGAGACATAAAAAATGATGACAAGGATGAACTCAGAGAAACCTTCGAAGACATGTACGAATGGATGCAAAGTGAAGTGAGAAGAACCAGAACAATTTATACATTGAAAACAACAACTTTGAAAGACTTAAAAAAGCTCTGATTGATGCAATGACCAATTAGAATTCAAGAAGACTGATGATGAAGTATGCTTCCAATCTTTCAGAGGAGGGGTGACAGACTGTAGTTACAGAATGAAATGAATATTTTCAGACATGACAAACACAACATTAATCTGTTTTGCTTGACTCTATAATTATTTGTTTTGAGGCAGGGCTTTAATTGAAGGAGACAAAAGTGTCACAGGGGAATGAGAAGTAGTGATACCGATGCAAAAAAAGAAAAAGAATGCCAATGAAATATGTCAAAAATAGATAAAAGACTGCAGATGTTCAGAGGAAGAGAAAGATAAAGCAAGGTAATGTTGGTACTGTCATCTTAAAATTGACATGCACTTTTATAACACCAAATTGCACATGGTAGTTTCACAGGTTAATACACAATCCTTTTTTTCTGTCAGTCTTCATGTATGGAAATGTTCCTGTTTGTTGACTGTCAAGTTCATGAATCAGGAAGACCAGCCTTTAACACATACTAGATATGTGACCCAAGGCAAATCATTCAATCTCACAGTGCCCCAAGGCAGCTCTTTAATACTAAAAATTTAACTAACTTTAATACTAAAAAATAAACAATGCCAATCTTCTAAGAGGGAATTTCCTCCCCTGGAGCTTTCTACACTAATGAAATTATAGGTCCAAACCAAGAAACGATAATAACAATAACAATGACAACAACTGACATTTATGTGGTGCTTTTAAGGTTGCAAAGTGTGTTACAAACACTGCCTTATTAGAAACTTATAATAACCCTAATAAAGACATGATTACCCTTATTTTACAGATGAGGAAATGTAAGATGCATAGGCAGAGAACTGAAGGGTATTTTTCACCATCAGGGAACTACGGAAGTATCCAACTTGGGATCTGATCAGGCATCTACTACTGACTAAAGCCAACTCTTTCAACTGGGGTTCGGGGGGAAGGATGATGACAACCCCAACTCATTTAACCAAAATCTGTCTATCACACACTTCCCATATGTAGGACACAGTTGTAAAATCCTGTAATAACACAATCACTGTGGTCCCAGGAGTCCACTATGTATGAAGATAGTAAAACCTCAAGGTGATCCTACAAATCTGGAAACTGAGCTAATTCTCACAGGAATGAAGTTTAGATGAACAAAATCTTTAAGCTAGAAAAATGTCTTAAAGATAATTTATCCTAATTCCATTTGACAGATGATGAAATTGAAACTCAGTTGGAAAAAATTTCTATGAGAGCTATCAATTTAATGCATGTGTGTTCATTTGCCAGTATGCCACACCCACTTCTAATTACCTCATCTACACATTTACCTGCTTGTATGAAATACTGGGTGAAAAAGTGGGTACAAAGCTAACTGCCTACACCACACCTGGGTTAACACTCGTTTTAAATTTATTGGTTTACGAAACTGCTATTAGATTCTTTATGTTTAAAAAAGAAAAAGAAAACACTCAACTAGGGTAACCAAAAAGTAAACACTTGCACAATTTATGACCATGCCAGTTCAACCAAATTTATTTAAATAAAAAGGAAGGATTTTATATAAGAAGAACATAATCATTAAATGACCAGAGTTCTGTAAGAATGATAACTTATTGGGACTATTTTAAAAAGGACAAATTTTTTTTTTTAATATTAAGAGCTACCACAGAAGAAATTGTAAAAATAATTTTACATATTTAAGGAGCACAAAACAATAGCTTTGAATATCCACACAGGAGTAAACAAGAATTTAAAAAGTTGTGCTGTCTTTCTCTTTTGCCAAAAACAAACAAAACAAAAAACCCAACAACAAACAAAACACACAAACCATAAGTTTCTGACAGATATCACTTTAGTCCTGAGAAAAAGATATACAGGGATATCCTACAGAACACAGCCTCAACCAAAAATTTTGTGACAAAGTTGAGACATTATGAACATACTTCACCATAATTTACTGACCTCAGTTGTAACTTTGTTAAGTTTCTATCTTTGTCAGATTTCTACCTTCCAAATATTTCACATATTACCCCTTCTCTCCTCTGCTATTCCCTAGACTACTATAATAGCAGGCTAGATGATCTCCTGGCCTCAACTCACCCCACTCCTGTCTATCCTCAACTCATAGATCGAATTTATTTTCCTTCACCCCCCCCGACAATACATTTACATGTGTGTGTTCATTATAGATACACACACATACACACACACCCCCTTCCATAATGTAGATCCTTCCCATCTTCCAGTCTTCTTACACCTTATTCCTCTCCACCTATTCCATGACCTAGTGACTCTGGCCTCCTTGTTGTTCCTCACACAAAACAACTCTGTCTCCAGCATTTTCACTCTTAAGACCCTCACGCAGGGAATTCTCTCCATCTCCATCTCTTGGCTTCCTTCAGGTCTCACTTTTTTCAAGAAGCCTTTCTCAGTCTTCAATCTGTATACTTTTTTTTAAAATGATTCAAAAAAATCAAATTTTAGAGTCAATTTTAGTTCATAATGTACATACTTCATATAGATGGGAAGCTGGGGCAATAAAATTGCAAACACACTTCATGCAGAAAAAGACATACTAAATTAAAAGGGAATAGATAAAAGCAAAAAGGAAAAAATTCTGGAACACAAATTTCCTGTGACTCAAATCTTATCTACTGCGTGCTCGCTCTCTCTCTCACACTCACTCACTCACACACACACACACACACACACACACACACAAACATAAACACACCTTACTAATTGATGGTTCTAGCAACGTTACACACCAGTTGATACTATTAATACAGGTAAACATCATTACCTTATTTCCAAATTAATCTGGTTATAGAACACTTTTAGGTCTTAAACACATGGACTCTAATAGTGAGAGGAAAACAGAGACATACACCAAGAATAAAGGGGCAGAGAGGGAAATCCTGGAGCAAGAGAGAGGAAATCCAGCCTATTTTTTAATGTTGAAAAACTGTCCCATGTAATACATATTGTTGACACAGACAGACTTTATATTTTAAGGAGGAAAACAACACTGTTATCAACACGCTTTCACCGAGTCCTTGCGGCACCCTGAAAACCAAGTGTGGGAAACACTGCTCTAGCCTGTTCGCCACCAGGTGCCAAGGTACCTGAGAGAAGAGGGGGCAGAGAGGCCGGGCGGTCAGATGACAGGGTGGTCCGTGAAAGCCCCCCGCTGGGGCAGAGGCGGGGGGCTGCTTCGGGCTCCCCCGCCAGCCCCGGCCCTCATCGGAAGGCCAGGCCCCGCGGCCTCTTTGCCCTCCTCCTCCGGTGCGGCGGGCCCAGCGCGGGGCCTGGCACACGCCGAGGCTCCGCACCGTTTTGGGGGCGATGCCAGCAGGACGCGGGGCAGGCCCCCGCGGGTCGTGTGCGGGGGGGAGGGGAAGAAGGGCCCTCCGGCAGCGAGCCCGCCCCGCGCCCCCCGCCCTGCTTCACGGCCACGCGTGACCCCGGCCCGCAGGGCCGTCCCCCGCCCCCAGCCGGACACAGACCGCACACGGCGCCCCCCGCCACACACACTGACAGACTGACAGACAGACAGACAGACAGACGGACACAAACACACAGACAGACAGACACACACTCCGCCCCCTGCACGCACACCCTCCGCACGCCCTCCCCCCCGCGCACCACACCCCCCCACCACACACAGCCGCCCCCC